GTCCCTCGACGTCGAACGGAGGCGAGTAGGACTTCTTGCTGGGATCACGCATCTTGCCGCGAAGATACGGATCGAAACTCGCGTAGAGAATCTCGACTACGAGACCGCCCTCGGGGGCATCGTTGAGGTCGATGGGGCGGTCCTCCACTACAAGATGCTCCCCTGCCACTGGCAGTGCCGTGGGGATTTTCTTGAAAATGAGGGTCTTGTTCTGGGTCATGGTGAATGAGCTGAGAGAGACTTCGGTTGAAAAGGATAAAAAATCTGGCAGGTGTCAAAGAGAAATATGTGAAAGGTATTTCAACTCAGAGTCCCTGATATGCTGCATTGACGTAATGGTGCACAAAGAAGAAAGGCAAAAGATGCCGAGGTATGTTTGTGCGATTTGTAGCTCTTTTTATCGCCGTCGGTGTTAATCACCGCGCTTTCCACGGTCGAACCCCACCTTTGCGCAGCTACATCGCATCCGAGAACGATACGAGTCAAGATGACGTGCTGTGGATTAATCATCAGGACATCGTACCATCGTTGGAGTCTATCCATCTTTTAGCTGCGTCTAAGGTATTCTGGAATTGACTTTTCGGTGGAGTGGGGAAAACACATTTCCGGGACACTGGATGATGTTGTTTTTTTCGACAATCTTGAGCGTACATACTTGTCAGCATTTCACTGTCAGTGAGCCTCACAGCCGCCATGGATGACAACCCCGCTCATACAGATCCTAGATTCCGAGGAATAAGTAATAGAACACAATAACATAATGCATTGATTTGTATCCTCATCAAAATCATCACAACCACGTTTGATAAATCACAGATATTTAAGAGAATCAAATGAGAAAAGTATCACTGTTCAGACGAAGAGGACAAGGAGTTTTTCAACTGTGGTCAAATCCTTCTGACAATTATGGAATGTCCATCATGTCAATAATTTATCCAAGGTACAAAAGACTGCCAGTTCATGTCTCTCGGCCCAAATGGTGGCAATGAGAACTTACTGCCTCCGTCTCTTCCAGCCGGTGAACTTGACATAATCAGGAGCACCATGATCTCTCTTACACTCTTTGAATGAGGAGCCATCGGCATCTGCTCTCTTCCATGGAGGATGCTCGACGTCGTCTAGTGCGGTTCGCCTCTCGTTGCGAGCCCGTCAGGCTGACTTGCCTGTGCAATCATAGACAAGTCTCTAGACTCAACATTGAAAACAACTTGACACGTGGGATTTGATAGACTCACCAGGGCAGCAAGCCCAATGGTACACATGACTGAGATTGCAACCACAGTCAGCTTCAAGATGACTACTGTTGAGAAATGATCAAAAAATAGTTGATGTCTATGGATGAAACTGTCAAGTGTACTAAATTCAACATTTCTGTTTCGATTGACACAGAGATTTCAGAATTTGTAAATGTAGCTGCTGTGCTGCTGTGCAGCTGTGCACTCGTATTTGCTTGATGCGCGCTTCATACGTATCGGGACTTGGCTCGTGTCGCCATCTGAGCGAAGTTCCTACTGGTCTTGGGTTGTTGCATAGATGACAATAACCTTGTATTTAGTACATGCGGACCTCGACTCGAGTGCACAAGACAATATCAGGGTGGGAGTGAAATATCAAGACAAAGGTGAATTAGCTGGTGGCTTAAGGCTCAATCTCCATGTTTCGATAAAACGACTTCCTGTCTTACTTTCAACCTCTCTTCGGCGCTGTCGCGAAAATCTTCTTCAGTCGATCGTCAAGCCACTTTACATCGTCGAAGTTTCCTGGGGGGCCTCCCGCCCAATGTCCCCAAATGGACGGGTAGACATCCAGTTCTCCCACACCATCGCTCATGCAAGCAACCTCATATTCAGAATCTTCCGGTCTGGAAAGAGTTAGCTTTTCGGCATGATGACTACGCTAAGCGGGTACTTACGGAAAGTAGAGGTCGGTCTTGGAAGGCAGCACCAATGTCTTCGCTTTAATGACGGCCATCGCCTTTTTGAAGTCACCGTTGTACGGCTCTTGCTTACTCACATCGCCACTCTGCCAAGTCTGCAGCATGACAAGCAAATTCTCCGGATCCTTGCTCAAAGCCCACTTCTCCCAGAAGGTGACTAGAAACTCTTCGAGATCCTTTGCCTTGTAATGCTCCTTGTACAGCTCATGTCGATAAAACGCTTGTGAGAATCCCCAGCCCGCGTAGCCACGGCCAAAGGCCTTCAGGCCAACCTCCTTCTCCTCATCAGACCAGATGCGAAGGCTCTTCTTTTGCTCAGCGGTCTCGACGCGTCCCTTCGCACTTCCGGCGGAGCTGGTCCTTTTGGCGGCCAACAGTGCTGTTTTGACACCTTCCAAGAAGACCTGGTTATGCAGCGCGGTCTTGGCGGCACCGCAAAAGGGAACACAAATGTCCGTGAAGTCGGGATACTGCGTCGCCCATTGGAAAGATTGTGCCGCGCCCATGGACCATCCCAATACCGCTCTGATGTGCTTGATCTTGAGTTCTTTCGTGATAAGCTCATACTGGGCTCGGACGTTATCGTAAAAGGTGATGTCGGGGAATGGGCTGACGTCGGAGTTGGAGGGACTGATGGATTGGCCGTTACCGAACAGCGCCGGAATGATGATGAAGTAGTCTTTCGGGTTCAGGGTTTTGTCGTCGCCGACCAGCCATTCGTTGTCCGCAATCGCTCCCGAATACCAAGTTGGATACACAACGGCTGGGAGAGAAGGGTCGCCAAATGTCTTGTAAGCGATCCAGGCACTAGGTAGAACCTCGCCACTCTGAAGCTGGAAATCTCCGAGGGTGTACTTCTTGATCTCAGACATTTTTACGCCGCACCTGTTCAATCAGAAAGACAAATTTCCAATCAAAATTTAACTGATTGATACTCAAGGTGATACCGTTTGCGAAAGAGGGGATTTAGATAGCGCTGGGCTTTTGAGGCGCTGCCTTAGTCAGTGAATCTTATCATGTGCCATCGACGCCAGGCGGTTGAAAACGGAAACCAACGGTTGGCGACCCCAACTTCATACCCCTCATCGTTATCATGCATGCTGATGTCAAACTGTCAAGGACGCCCTACCCTATCATCACTGATAAGAGGAGGCGTTATCAGCAATCCGTGGATGTAGTTATTAGCCGTAGTGCAACAAGCAGAAGGCGCAATCATTAATCCTGGTAGAGTTGAAATTTTAAATCGACAGTAATGCAGCAGCCCGCCAATTGAATTGGTTCGAAACCAGCGAATGAAATCTGAGATCTAGTTGATACGGCGGACCGCTGATAGATCCCCTACTAATGCTGATGGTCGTTAGATGTTCGTTTCTAGAGTGAGTTGCTAGTCGTTCTGGTTTACATTCAATATTGAACTCTTGAGTGAAGCAATTGACCTTCGTGCTACTGCAAAATACCTAGCTGTCAACTGAAGCGCTAGTTGCTGCGACAACTCCACCCACGTTTTCATTCGCCGAGTGACTCACTCAACGAGCCCGTCTCACAAAAACGTCGAAATCGACTCGTCAAAGATTCATCAAGCTTTAAAGCCTCCAAAAATTGTAAGTCTGCGTATCTGAGGCAGATAACGCCACAAGAACTAAAGCTCACATGTTCCTCTAGACAGTCATCATGTCTTCCGAAAAGCGATCAGTCGTTGTCGTCTCGTCGGAGAATCCCGTCAAAATCAACGCCGCAAAGCAAGGCTTCGAGCTAGCTCTAGCTGGCGATTTCGAGTTCAAGGGTGTCAGCGTCCCCTCTGGTGTCCCGGACCAACCGCTCTCCGACAAGGAGACGCTTCTTGGAGCTTTGACCCGGGTGCGGAACGCTCAGGAGGTCGAGAAGGATGCAGACTATTGGGTCGGAATTGAAGGAGGCGTCGAAGTCCCGGAAGATGCAAATGGCGCGTATCTGAACTTTGCGTGGATCGTGGTAGCGACCCGGGAGGGAAAGATGGGAAAGGCACGCAGTGCAGCCTATTATCTGCCGGAAGAATCAGCCAACTATCTGCGCCAGGGAATGGAACTGGGACATGCCGATGATGCAGTATTTGGTCACGTCAACTCGAAGCAGACGAGAGGTTCAGTCGGGCTGTTAACGGATGATCTGATTGACCGAACGATGTACTACAGCCATGCTATGATTCTAGCCTTGATCCCCTTCAAGAACAGCAAATTGACATTCGTTTGAACCGATTAGGGTGACTTGTGAAGTGAAGGCGCCGTGTTGGTTGAAGTGACATCAAGCTTCTATCATTGCGGTCCTAAACCTCAGGCTGTTGAAGAGAGTGGCTGAATTTGCTGACGCGAGGACATGTTCATCGACAGATATATCGTTCGTCGTTTACAGAACCAGGCATGGCTTTGACGTATTCGAGTAAGCCTTCCACACCTATGTGCACGGCTTCTATGACCAAATGGAGCTGACGACCAGCAACCATTGTCGTCCCAGATCCCTGTGAGATACTGTCCCCCAGTAGCTACTCCACATTTACCGCTGTTCAATACGCCAGGTGTCTTTCTACGCGGGTAATAGAAGTTTGTGGCCTCGTGCGACATCATCGCCCGCTCGAAGGGATGAAAACATGATATAGGAGCGATTGTTTGATTAGATTGAGGCTGTATCATCCAGCGGATAAAAATTCAAAGCATGTCCTGCCGCTAATCCACTAAGCATGACACCTCTGTCCCATTCTTTCGGCTTTGCTGTCAAGTTCTAATCCAAAAACCAGCCGTCAATCATGCCGTGCGAATTTTTGTATTTGAATGTGGATTTTCGTATCCAGACCTGCAACGATTAGAAGTGGCCCATCTTTCTGGTTCATACAGATTTGTCTCGTTTAGGTCCGAGTACGCGCTCTTGAGAAATTCGATCCTGGATTTTAATTTGACTTGGTGACCGCTCAAAGCACCTGTCTTGGCTTAAAATCGCTCGTGAACCATCCAGCATGATTTGCAGACAACTCTATTTTCTAAACCGTCACCAAGCGAGTGATCATCAAGCATCTTGTTCCATCGCATTCATCATGTCAGTTGTTTACAACAAGACAGAACCTCCATTTGGTCCAATTGTCAATGGAACTCAAATTATTTTCTTTGAATACCTCCCGAAAGAAGCAGCTGCTTGGATATTCGTCGTCTTGTTTTTCCTCGCTGCTGTCGTCTATCTTGGCCTTTTAATATGGCTGAGGGCATGGCACTTTCTGCCCCTCACACTTGGGGCTGTCGGTTCGATGTTACCAGAGCAATTACCTGTGTTCACTTCTCTGACTGGACCCCTATTCAGGTGAGGGTTTTGGCTACTATGGGCGTGTCCAGGCACACAGAAGACCCAACGTCGCAGGCCCGTTTATTATGCAAAATATTTTGATCTTGGGATGCGCACCACTAATCGCTGCCACTGTCTATATGACTCTCGGAACGTACATCAAAGTTTTTCAGCTGAGAGATCGTGTCGTGATCCCACCACGACTGATGACATTCGTCTTTGTCACTGTTGATCTGGGTTGCTTCGTGACTCAGGTCTTTGGCTCCGCCGCACCGGCTTCGGGCGACCCTCAAGGGATCGCACTCGGGAAAACGTTGATTATAGGAGGCTTGATAACACAGCTTGCAACCTTGTGTCTCTTCCTGATCCTAACCCTGGTTTCCGACTGGCTAGCGAAGAATAGCAAATCGCAAGACTACAAGGTCGGTTCGATAGCCGACTCTGCTCCGAGATATTTTCAGGTTACATACTGGGTCGCCGGAGCGATGTTACTTCGCAGTCTTGTGAGAGGCATCGAGTATCTTCAAGGCGATGGAGGGTTCATCATTTCGCACGAAGCTTTCGTCTACGTACTGGACGGCTTACCGATGATATTCGTTGCAGCCGTGTACTGTTTTGTTCATCCTGGAAAGATTCTTCGGGATGCAGCTTGGGTGGGTGGAACAGAAGAGCATCAAGAACTCGCGAACTATCGCCGATTGTCTGCTTGAACGAGAAACATGGAATTGTAATTCACAGACTACATCAAGTGAGGAAGGCGACATTAGAGGTATAATCAATGATAAATTGCCGAGTAGCCTGCGTATATCCAGTTCAAACCCAAGAGGCCGAATGAACTGGGTCAGTCAAGAAGCTCTCACTTGATCTCTGTCCATCGCAAGACTCATGGCGTATCGTTTGTTCACTCAATTCTTTCGATCAACGCTTTTGTTTACTCAGTGATAGTCCTTTGGTCCTGATATTTGCGCGATGTAGTACTGAAAAGATTTTCGCCAGGACGCTTTCTGATTGAATTGCTTGTGAGAAAGAGCAAGAATGATGGCACAGGCATCATAGACAATGGATGTTGGAGTATCAGTGACATGGCTGACACTCTCCAATTCAATACACTCCCCTAGCTTTCGGGATAGTAGGGGCCTCATGCCGAGTGGTGATGACGAAGCTTTCGGTGAACCCATCATACGACATACCGCACTCCCTTTCAACAAACAGAGGGAGAAGAGCGATGGCTTCGAATCCATTTCTTAACCACAAAGAAAAGAAGATGTTGTTTAGTTCAGAGTAAAGGTCAGTGCCGCTACAGCACCCCGAGCTCCTAGTACATCGATCGCACATCCTTCTGTGCTGCTCGGGAAATGTCTCCCCTGATATGTCACTCCTTTAGCCCAGCCATTCATCCAATTAGGATGCCCTGGTAGCTCCACAAGTTTCCTGCAAAGACCTTCTCTTAGAATACGTGGTGTTCGGTAAACAACTTGTTGGTCTGATTGGTATTTCCCATCAGTAACGTGTAATGAGTGAGAAGTTGAGGGATGCGGGGTGTTGCTTACCTCTGCAACCACGTCATAACACATGGCCCATTTCGTAAATTGAGGCGTTCTTGGTGGAGCATTCTCATCCATTTGAATGCTTTCCCAGTCCGTAGGCTGACCAGTGAAACCCGTCGCCAAGAGTTTCTGGTCTCTTGCTTCTTGCTCTGGACCATCAGGCAGGGTGAACATGACGATGTTCTTGTGGCCGAGGTCAAACATCTTTTCAGCACGTGGCTTCCTGATGGCCTCCCACTTCTCTAAAACGGCGGGAAGGTCCTCCCGTGTGTCGAGCCAGCGCAGAGCTGTGCTAAGCGCCAAGCTATCCTCGATGCCTTGACTCACCCCCTGGGCAGTATGCGGCAACATAGCATGCGCAGCATCCCCCACAAGAACACAGCGTCCACCGAATCCCAGCCAGGTTTTCATCTTTGGTGCTGTGGCAAGGTGCCACTTGTCGATTGGGTAACCCCCACGTATCACACATTCGATATAGGCACGCAGCGGCGCTCCGAATCCTTTGAACATTTCACGGATCTCTTCGGGGTTTCCGTCGGAATTCCAAGTCCCGCCAAGGTCCGCATCTCCGGATGGAAGCCCATAATTCAGATTACATAGAAGGATGCGAACGGTGCGGTGAGCAGTCGGCCGACCAACGCAGTAAAGTCCGGGCCCGAACATGAGATGGTGCGAGCAAACGCCCAGCGGAGCGGCAGCTGGGTCTTGCTGTACTGTGACAATGTCAACCTCTGTCTGAAAGATACACTCGTTTGTCATGATAGGACTCATGTTTTGCCCAGGAAATACAAGCTCGCGGACGCGTGACTTGATGCCATCAGCGCCAACGACCATGTCTGCCATGTATTCACTGCCGTCCTCCGCCAGTACCAGAAGTTTGCCACTTTTCTCGTCGATGATTTTGACGACAGATTTCTTGAATAAATAGTTGGCTCCTGCTTTAACAGCGGCTTCGTAAGTAATTCGCTGTAGCGATGGCCTATCGGTCGGCTTCCGGATCGTCCCGTCGGGAATCGCCTTTGTTTCCATGAACGGCGCATCGTCCTTCCATCTCCAAACGAATTCGCTGACTGTTTCGAAAGACACCCTATCCAGAGATTCCGAGACACCAATCAAGTTCAGGCATTTCACAGCGGAAGGTTGTACGATGAGATTCCCTCCACGTGTTTGGAGTAGAGAGTTGCGTTCGAGGACAGTGACTTGATGTCCGTCAGAAGCCAAAGCGGCCGCTGCCGTATGTCCGGCTGGCCCGGCTCCAACAATTAATATTGTCAACGAAACTTGCGAGGGCATGTTGACTCGCTCAGTATTGACGGCTCATGGACGACACCTCAGCAGGTCAAGTAGAGTGTTACCCTCCCAAAGTAGACGGCGTAGCAGCAGACAGTGGGGCGGCAGCTAGGTATATGTAGCCAGTTGTGTCGCCTTTCAAATATTTGTTGACTGAGAGTTCGTCTGAAGACACGGCATTCTAATTAACCGAAGTCCGTTGAGAAAGGTTTGCTAGTGTGATTTGGCTATTGAATAGAGTTCTGCTAGACAATATACACATCAGTCTCTAAGGACAGGGTATATGGCACAATTTACTGCGTGCCTCAATGTTTTTGTCGGGCGGCGGGCCACACTAACTTCACCGAAGTCCCCCGCTATATGTCCCCTCATCAGCAATTGTCTATCTATGTCTGTGCATGGTTACTTTACGTCCAATGCCGACGGCTAAAGGATAAATCGGCATCATTAGGACCCTCCCAGTGGATCACTGATACTTCGATCGATGGGGCTGGGTAGAAGGTTACTTCCGTGGTTCATCTGCTGTTCCAGAGCTAAGGCAAAGCTCGGTATCGCAAACGATGAGACGTTGGGCCAAAGTCTTTCAGCCGAAGAGTATTTGAGAACCCCACTTGCAAGTTTCCTAAGTATAAGAGGGTAACTCCCAGCAGAAGTAGTGAGCGTGGGAATAAGGACGTAGTTTTGGCTGCGCGACGACGGATAGGTCGGTTCAACCAATCAATAGTGATCATACTCATCGACTGGTCCTACGGGCTATGCACTTCAGTCGATAATAAGCTCTGCGGATGGGCCGGTGGAAGAAAAGGACGGGCTCGTTGAGACACAGAACCCTTCACCAGAAACGAGAAACATACTGCAGGTAGTCCAGTAAGACCCTTGAGAAAGTAAAGGTGATCCAAGAATGATCATGCAGATCTGATGTTTCCCACTTTCCGGACGAACTGGAGATGGTGGGGGTTTTTCCTGGGCAAGACGCGTTGGCGACCTCGCTTCTCCACACCCCAGCCGAGTGAGACTCCCAGCTAAGAAAGAACAAGCGGTATTCTCCACCTCACGACGAATTGAGGCTATGAAAGGAAACTCCAAGTCATTGAAAGACGTGAGATCTGGTATGTTTTGTGACCGCCAATGAGCTTATGTGCCAAAGAGGTAAAGTTTCAGCGCAGAGCAACCGCGGGCATTACGTTACCAAACCTCACAAAGGAGGTTGTCAGCATCTTGCTATTCAGCGGCCTCTAAAGGGTGCTTCCGGATTGAAGCTTTTTCAAATACACGCCGATTGCGCGTCTCTAGTTTTTTTTTGGTTCAGAGCAAGGAAAATTAGTTGAGCCAAACAGGCCCACAACCAAGACTGCCAAGCGTGAGGTCCGCAAATGTTTGACTTGGAAGTGGAGGGACAAGATATCGTGGATATCAAACCCCAAAAGCTAGCCAACTAGAGAAATAAGCTTAAACTTGGCCAACGTCATTCATCCATGTCGCCGAGACTAAAAGGTCTTCACACTTCAGCTGACTGCACTCAATCCTTTCATTCAATGTCTTGGTTCGCCCAGCCTCGGTTTACCCTCTTGGGTAATCCGTACGGGAGGATGCCGCTACACCGTCGTCCCGTCGGACTCGGCGTTGGTTATGATATCCACATCGAGCCGAAATCTTACCACCAACTGGTGACCTGTAAGCATTTTTAGGATTGTTGGTCGGCCAATCTCTTGCGTTGCAAACGTCCTGAGGCATGATCTCTTTCGCTTGGCCACATTCCCGGGAGGTCAAGAGACGCAGGGTTCCTTTGATTGTCGTTACTGAATGAGAAAGAGCCAAGAAGTCCTCGCGCCCGTGTGGCCCCTGACATTCGACCCGGATGGGCGTACTTCGGGCTTTTCTCCGCGGCTGACCAGAGACTCGGACCAACACGGCCAACATCCAAGAACACCAAGACGCGATTCAAGGGCTACCTTTGGATATTGTTGGTAGACCCCGAGCCGCATGCTCCATTCTAATTGTGCCTGCTCGCCCGCGAATGTGCCAAATGACCTCAGCCAAGCCATCCTTCATTGGGGACGGTCTCATTGAGCCCCACGATGTCGGTGCGAAGCGACGTCCGAGGCGATAAGTGAGCGACTACAAGACGTGCATCGTTCCCAAGCCACGTTTTCTCCAAGACCTGCCCAGTCTTATCGGGATCATCCTACTCTGTCTTTTTCCCCCCACCACAACGGACGTGCATGAACATGGCCGAGAAGCAAGAGAAACAGCAACGCTCTGGCGAGAGCGGGAGCCCATCCCCATCATCTGCTGACAGCGATCGCATTGTCAATGAGAAACCTAAGAGTCAAGGGGGCTTCTGGGGGCTGTGTTCTAGACTTGGCGATCTTCCCGAATGGAAGGTGAAAGGCAAGCCTCTTGAGGGCCGGACGCTCAACTGGTCTATTGGCTTTATCGCAAGGTGAGCCGTATTCCACAATGATCTTGTGCTGGTATGCTGACGAGTTGTTTTTCTATACGAAAGTTGCGGGTTTTTGATGTTTGGCTACGATCAGGTAGGTTTCCCGGTTGAATGTTTCCTGGTAGTGCAAAGCTAACATATTCTAGGGAGTTCTGAGCTCGCTCCTTACCCTCGACGATTTCCAGAAGAGCATCCCGTTGATGACGCCACTTGAAAGGTCCAATGATTTATGCTGGGTCGACAACCCTGAGAACACACAACGTGACTACAGCCAATGCACCGGAGACCCCAACACGCAGGCCGCTGCCGTAGCAGTCTATCAGATTGGATGTTTCCTGGGCGCCCTTCTCATTCTCTTCTACGGAGAGACATGGGGTCGCAAGTCATCCACTTTTTGGGGTAGCTTGGTAATGATCCTTGGCACCATCATGCAAGCTGCCGCTCATGAGTAGTATGTACTTTGTTATTCCCTTGTATTGGGGCACATGCTAACTGACCGGTTTCAGCGGTCTTTTTGTTGCAGGTCGCATTGTTGGCGGAATCGGCAACGGAGCAGTTACTTCAAGTAAGCGTCACTTCGGTTTACCATTCCCGTTCTCCTGGCTAAACTCCGCGCAGCTATTCCAACTTGGCAGTCTGAATGTGCGCGACCTCGCCAACGAGGTTTCCTCATCACCCTCTCCGGAGCCCTTATTTCTGGAGGTATCATGATTGCTTACTGGGTAAATATCAAAGCCCTGCCCTTGACATATCAGCTTCATGCTCACAGACTTTCAGGTCGATTATGGCTTCTACTTTCTCGAAGGCTCAATCCGATGGCGCTTCCCCATCGCGTTCCAGTCTTTCTTTACCATCATCGTCATGTACGGTTTGCTCTATCTCCCTGATTCACCGCGCTGGCTGGCGATGAAGGGTCGCACTCACGAGGCGCGTGAGGTTACGGCACGTCTTCTCGGCAAACCCATTGATCATGAGGACGTCAACGTAGAAGTCAAGGCTATTCAGGAAGCCCTGGATAAGCAGAGCGAGGGAGGTGGCTTCAAGTTCAAGGAGCTTCTCACCAACGGACCGTCCCAAAACCTCCGCCGTACGCTGCTCGGCATTGCTGCTCAGTTCTTCCAGCAAATCTGCGGTGAGTTCTTTGGATCGAAATGTTCTTTTGACCGCAAACTGAGTTTTTTTGCTGCAGGTATCAACCTCATCACTTACTACGCCGGTTTTCTCTTTGAGAACTCTCTCGGATTTGGGCCTGTGCTGTCGCGGCTTCTCGCAGCTGCAAACGGGACCGAGTATTTCCTGGCATCGCTCGTTGCATTGCCTCTCATTGAGAGGACTGGTAGACGAAAGCTCATGCTCTTTGGCGCTTTTGGCATGATGGCGTCCATGGCTATCTTGGCTGGTACCGTTTCCACTGGCACTGTCGCAGAGAACGGAGCACCAAACCTTGAAACCCGTTACGGTGTGACGGCCACCGTCTTCCTCTTTGTCTTCAACTCTTTCTTCGCCATTGGTAAGTAACCCATGCAAACCTATGCAACCTCATTCGCTCACGTATTTAAAGGCTGGCTCGGCATGACCTGGCTGTACCCTGCCGAAATCACCAACCTCCGCATTCGCATCCAGGCCAACGCCCTGTCGACCTGCTCCAACTGGCTTTCCAACTTCCTGATCGTCATGATCACCCCTCCAGCCTTTGCCAACTTGGGATACCAGACATATGTCATGTTTGCCGTTTTCAATGCTGCCATCATTCCGTGCGTCTGGTTGTTTTTCCCAGAGCCGAAGGGCCGAAGTCTGGAGGAGTTGGACGTCATTTTTGCCAGCGCGCACGCTGACGGCGTCAACCCGGTCAAGCGTGCGAAGGAAATGCGGCACATCGAGGGTTTCGAGCTTGAGGGCGAGCTTGACAAGTACTTCGGGTCCAGTGAGCAGGTTGAAGATGCTCGTCCCATGACGCGCCCGATGACTGGGCACAGTCATCAAACAAGACACTGAGTGCCTCATACTCGCAATGCACATTCTCAACAGCAGTGCATGCTGCCAAGTAGATCTCTATATAGTTAGCTGACTGGCCAACTGAATTCAACTACATACACAAACGTTTCTTACATCCATCCATTTGCGAGATGCACCATGTCAATGTATGAAGATGTCCAGAGGAGCTTTCACCATGCTTAAGTCAGGTTTTGCCATTGATCTAAAATAGAGCCAAGCGTCTCAACGACATAAATTTACATGATGAAGCTGGCATTAGATCATTGTATTGAGAATTTACGACGTTAGCATTGTGACTATGTTTCAAAGCATATGAGTCTAAAAGTTGGACTTCTTTCAATGCATTCTAAGCAGTCAACAAAGGCAATGTTCCTGCAAGAGAGGGAACTTTTAGTCAAAACAACCACTTTGTTGGTTCAGACTTTGCTCAATGACATTGTGATGCCGAGTACCCAAAAGGCTCAAGTCCTTTGATGTCTCGGCAGTCCCCTTTCTAAACGCCGTCAAAGTGTCTCTTGTGTAGATGAGGCGCAGTAGTTCGAACAATGCCTTCTTCTTCTTCTTCTACCTTAGTCGAGAATGAAGCCAGTTGTTCATTCACAGCAGAAACGTCGATATCCTCGTTTTGATTCGCAGTCAGTATAAGAGTAGTCTTGTGGTATTGACTAGAGACAAGTCCAGCAAATCGTGACAGTACAGAAACCCACAGCAGCGGCGAGCAGTATCATACAACACTCAGCAATCTTTCGTCTCAGAACTTGAATCCGATTTACGTCTTATTATCAGGCAAACTGAAGCTCACGACATGCCAGGCCACGATATCAAACTAGAGGTAGAGGATAACAACATTCGGATGGAAGATATTGAAGAACAGCCCCGAAGCTTTCTCGGAGCAATCCTCTCCTCCATCGCGAACGTCCCTTTGGTAATTATCAACTTCATCCGAAACAACCCTCACTTCATCCTCTTTCTGATCTGCGTTACATGTAACGTATGGTACTTCTGGGACACGATAATCTACTACAGTGAATTACTCGAGGATATTGATCGCGATACTTGGATTGCCGCATTTGTCTGGGTTTTCATCACACGGTACTACCGTTTTGCAATCGGCTTCTGGGGAAATCACGTTTACAGGCCCTCGCCCATGCAGCAGAGAGAGCTCTGGACATCCAGGGATGTCACGGTCATCCTCCCCACGATCGATCCCGACAACCTCAAGTTCGCCGAGTGCATCCTCTCAATTCTGGAGAACAGGCCGGCCGCAATCCTTGTCGTTACCGTCGGAGCCGCCATGCGCCAGCGGTGTGACGACTTCCTCGAACACTTCCGTCAAGAGTATCCAATGACGCGAATCGGCGTCAGCGCGATCCCCCACCCCTCTAAGCGCCGACAAGTCGCTCATGCCGTACCCAAGGTCGAAACCGAGTTCACGATCCTCGCCGACGACCACGTCTTCTGGCCCAGTAAAGAGTTCGTCCCCAACGCTCTTGCGCCCTTTGAGTGCCCAACCGTGGGTGTGGTGGCTACCTACAAGTGCGTCCGACGTACAAGTCCCGGTAAGTTCTGGAGCATCTCTTCTATCATAAACTTCATCGGATGCCTCTACCTCGAGCGCCACAACTATGATCTCAGGGCCTCCAACGCCGTAGACGGCGGCGTCTTTGTGGTGTCTGGTCGCACCGCCATCTACCGCACCAGGTTTCTCAAAGCCGACGGCTTGATGCATCGGTTCTGCAACGAAAAGTTCTTCTTTGGTCTCTTCGGCGGTAAGGAAGGCCTCGGACCGGACGATGACAACTTCCTCACCCGCGAAGCTTACAAGCACGACTGGGACATCAAGTTCCAGCACACGAACGAATGCGTCATCTGGACCACGATCGGCGACGAGTCGCTCAGCAAATTCCGCGGTCAACTCGTCCGCTGGGCCAGGACCACGTTCCGGAGTAACCCGTGCATGATGCTGGAGAGCAACAGGGTTCTCATCAAGCGCATGCCGTGGTCATTTTTCACCGTCTATCTGACTGGCCTTATCAACTTTGCACTGTTGTTGGATGGCTTGCTGATCTTTACCTTCTACAACGCGCTGGGCGCCGACGAATTCCTAACTACCGAAATGCGGAATCTCCTCTGCTTTATGCTCTTTACCAAGGTATGGAAGATCGTGCCCCATTTTCTGCGGTATCCTTCGGATCTGCTGCTCCTGCCTTACCAGATTCTCTTCGGGTACGTTCACTCTCTCATCAAGTTCTGGGCTTTGATTACATTCTGGGACTGCGCATGGCTGGGCCGTAACTTGGACGCGGTCGACGACGAGGCTGAACACTCAAGAATGCCCCTTAACATGGATTTCAGTTGGGGAGAAGTACGTCCCAACAGCCAAAGTCATGGATACTATTACTACTAGGTTCGGTAGTTTATCCACTCTCATCAGAGGTCTTGTTTTCGTTGCAATTGCTGTGTTGTGGGATTTATTTGATGGTGGTCGTTGTGCTTTGTTTCTTGCTTGGCATTTTACCCCGATTGTGTCACGATGAACAAATAGTTGAGCCCATATTATCTCGATTCCCGCACTCTATCAAGTTGTTTCCTGTTCCCTGTGAAAGACAGCATGTACGTCTTTCTACGCCCCGACTAGCCTATTTAGGGCTTGCGTAGTTGTTTACACAGTCTCCACCAACGTGCAGCAATGAGACTGCGGAAAGAAAGAAGAAAGAATAAGCGCCTGCCGAGTCGATTTCATGGGTATCTGTGGGATCAATACAAAAACGGGTACGTACCCGTGTATGTATTAGTATTGGAAACTGTATCCTATTATCTCTAGAGTTACTGTGATCTGGTATCTTTTGAATTATCTACTTCTTTCTCTCAATGCCGTCCAGCGTAAAGCCCGTGAACATGATGGCCTCCGTCCATCTCGGGAGGTCTCTGATAGGTATTGTCAGTCTCAATTGGTCCCGCTGACATAGGATCCGTCTTCAATCCCGCGTATTCGTAATGGGGATAAGCAGAGCTGTCGAAGGTCTCGCCTCCTTTGTCGGGTTGTCCAAGTTTCCTCTTCCTTAGTGCCTTCCATGCGAACCAACCGATCACGGACACAACGAGAATGGTACCCAGCGATGCACCGACGGCTATCCCAGCGACGGCCCCCGTGCCAAGGGACTGTGAATATGTCTCGGTCGCGGCAGGAGAGCTTGAGGTAGCCGAAGCCTGGCTCTGGCTCGAAGACGTGGGGCTCGAAGTAGTTGCTGTGGTCGTCGAGGCTTCTGGAATGTTGAAATAATGTGACGTAGCGGTTATCGCCCCCGACCCGGAACTGTACAGTGCCAGGTAAAAGACCGGCAGAGACAGATCGGCGTCGTCGGGGAAACCGTCATAGCTGACCTCACATGTGTAGTCCAGAGAACTATAATTCTCTACAAAGTTGGGAAAAGATAGTCGTTAGCGATGCATTCGCAAGGTCCCCATGTTGTCGGGAACATACGTAGAATCCGAGCCGAAGACCGATCTCCGGTAGTACTGTCCGCCTTATTGTTCCAAATCCAGATGTCGTTCAGGGGATCTGACTCCCACACGAAGGTCACCTTTTCACCAAGAGTGTAAATCGGGTTGTCGATGTAGTCGTTCGTAGGCCCTGGGCCGGGCGGTCGGCGGAATACATCTTCGGCAATTGCGAACGAGGCAAATGTTAGACTGAACAGCAGCCCTATCAGGTATGACATTGTCTCACTTCTAGCAACATAGCCTCATCCCCGGAGACCGTTAGAAAGCAAGATTTGCACACCTGCTCAAGGCACCAGCTATGCCAGGGAAGGCGTATGTCTAGGAGCGAAGGAATCTAACAAGGGCACTTCAACGTAGGTTGGGGCTTTTTATCACCCATCATCCCTGCTTCCACTAACTGAATTGGGCCCCCCTGGTGGCCTTGCTGGGTCTCCTTCTTGGGGACCTGACACTTGATTAAGGATCCATTGTCCCATTCACCATCCAAAAGGATCCAAAAGTGCCCTTACCAAGGAAGCGGCACAGCGCCAGCAAGCTGCAAGGACCAACAGCACCAACAGCAAACAACACCAAGAAATCTGCCTAGCCGCCGAGGAACAGTGCACGTACCCATCCGACCCCCGCCCCGGTCCCGATCAGCAATTGGCCCATTACCCGTGGGCGGGGCCGATGGCCGCCCCGGCTGCCTGCGAAGGATTCCGAAGCTGACTGCGGCATGCATGCAGGGGCGCGGTCGTCATTTAGCTTGGTACACAGCTCCAAAGTAGTCCATGTTATTCTCCCTGCAAGTGTCAGGGCATAAGCACTAACATCTAGACTTCTGAGACCATACAGCTTACCGTTCCTTCCTGGCTACGTACCGGCCTTATCCTCCCAATTTAGGATCCTCTAAGGCGACCAGCCACAGTCTCGAACGACTGATCCTCAACGTCCAACCTATCAGCTCCTTTGAGTATGAGGCTGATGATGGACTACCGCGCCCGGCTGTTGCAGATCATAGGCGAACTACAATGTGTCCATCATAGTCCTCGGGCGTCGTGGCAAGTGTCTAGTCGTGATATAAGTTTGAGATGAAACCCAACTTCAAGTCAAATGTCAAACTCACGTATTCAGCACTAACTAACACAACCAAAATCCCAACATACCGAGCACACACCAATCGGCCGAAAATCATGGGTTCCGAAGCAACCAGCGTCGTCCTCCGCAAGATCACAATCTTCGCCTTCCCACCAGCCTTCATCATCCTCCTTATCCACGGCATCATCTCCAACTGCGCCTTCCCGGCCCTCGGCATCCTACCCCTCGCCGCCTCCGCGATCCTCGGCCTCTTCATTATCCGCCGCGACCTCATCGCCGCCCTCGGCTCGCCGATCCGAGCCCTCACGCCGTCAAACGTCTTCTTCGCCGACGCCACCCTCGGCGTCTTCCACTTGGTCTTCCTCTTCATCAGCTGGGCCCTCATTAGGGAGCCGTGGGACAGGGGCCAGATTGTCCTCGGCACTTACGGAACGGTGCCTTTGATGCTTGACACGTGAGTCCTTTTGCCCTTTTTGCGCTATTCCGGGCATGGCTTGTAATTTGAAGCTGACAGGTTTTCTGAATGCCAGGGCTATTCATCTTTGGGTTCTCCTCCCGCAGATCGGGCATATGCTCGTCAGCCGTCGGTGCGACTGCCCTCACTGCCAGAGTGTGAGCAAGACGAGCTACTTCACGACGGGCGTGTCGGAGTACACTCCTCTCAGTGACGGTGACACGGAGCCCGAGGTCCTCGAGAGGGACATTGAAGCGGGTCACTGAAATGGACACCTAGTTCAAAAGTCAAGCGCAATCGAGTACTGGAGTGTGTCAAATTGCTAGGTTTGCAAAGTCTTTAGTTACTCCTTGGAAAATATCATCAGCAAGCACGTTAGCATACATCGTAGACATGCCCTGATACGCACAACATACACTCCTTGTACATTCGCACATACGAGCAAAGCATCCCGCTAGATGAATCAGTAATCAATCCGCAGTCCAGATCGTCTGATAATCAGGACACCTGTCGAGCGCTTCATGACGGCAACTCCCGCCTTCGCCCCGGAACAGAACGCCACGAGAAATAGCAAACCATGCCCAAACAGTCTTGGTCCTCCTTGCGAGACAATGCTGACTTATCCAAAGACATCATTCCCTGAGAAGGACAACATCCGCGTTCCGGAAGCACCACCCCCCCCCCCCCCCCGCAAACATCCGTCCGGCATGATGCCCGCCTCACCCCAAGGTGGCCAGAGCTCCCTTGTTGCCGCCTCACCCAACCAAGTCCTCTTCACAAGCCAAAGAAAGAGAGGCAGAGCTCTCGCAACCTTTTTCGTCCCATCTTCCAAGCACCCCACGCTTCCAATGCATGCGGGGGCATCATCCAATCAAGTAAACGTGCTTTGCTGTTTGGTAATGCGGGTGTAGCCATTGAGTTTCGCACGACATCGTTTCATTCGTCCCCATTCATCTTGGAAAGGCGTATGCAAAACCCGGTGTCTCCCTTGTCTGCCTCTTCTTCCCGGCTCCTTCCCCCCTGTCCAGCTGGGTGTCTGGCAATCAACGAAACATCTACCCCGGTCTCACAGCACGAGGAAACATTTATACGAAGCAGTATCTTTCTCGTCATTAGCCTTTCCAACATCCCTGACGGCCGGCGTCTTGTCCAGGTGTGATATCAAAACCCAAATCGATCAGACGGAACAAAGGCACGTTCGCCGTGAGCCGCCCTCCCGCACTGCCGCCCGGGATATCGACAGTCCGGCAAACCAGCAGTTTATCAAAAGCTCGCGTCCCACTTCAGCCGGCGAGCTTGGCCGTGGTGAACCATCGCAGAGCGAGGCAGAGCGGGTGTTTCCTTGAATTTCCATCGCAGAGTATTTCTCACAGCATCACATTAGACCTCCCCTTTCGACGTATCCAGCAGTCCGTCTGCTCCCTACCCACCCAGCCGCGAACGCCAAAAAGCTCCGTCGAGCATCGACGACAACTCCCAAGATGTACTTCACCAACCCCGTGGCAAGCTTCCTCACGACCCTCCTCGCCTTCTTCGCCGTCCTCGCCTTGATCCACATCGCCCTGACGACAGTCTACGTAAGTCCTCCCTCTTCCAAACCCCTATCCAAAAAGCTTCGGCACCAGGAATCCTTCTAACGATGTCGTCTAAAAGCTAATCTACACCTTCTTCCACTCGCCAATCCGCCACATCCCCGGCCCGCGCTACACCCTCGTCACGCACTACCCGCTCAAATACCACATCCTCACCGGCCGCCGCATGTACCACATTCACGCCCTGCACGCCCGCTACGGCCCCATCGTGCGCATCTCCCCGTCCGAGGTCGCCGTCGCCTCCCCCGAGGGCTTCGCCGCCATCCACCGCATCGGAAGCGGCTTCCTCAAGTCCGCCTGGTACGAGGAGTCCACCCGCCCCGACGGCGGCGAGTCCAGCATCTTCGCCATGTCCGACCCGCGCCAGCACGCCCAGCGCCGCCGCCTGCTCGCCCGCGTCTTCACGAAGCAGTCCCTCCGCGCGGACTGGGAAGTCGTCGTGCGGGAAAAGGTCGAGCGTGCGGTGGACAGGATACAGACGGAGGCGGCGGGCGGCGGGCGTTCGGACGTGTTGAAGTGGTGGACCATGATGACGACGGACACGATTGCGCACCTGGCGTTTGGGGAGTCGTTCAACATGTTGGAAATCGGGGAGGTAAGCACTGTCTCGTTCCCCCTTTCTCAGCTTCTCCGGTGGTGCTTGCCCAGCTGCTAACATCAACCCTCAAGAAAAATGACTACGTGAAAGCCCTCGAGCTAATCTCCATCCAAAACACGATGCGTTACGAGCTGCCTCTCCTGCACTTCCTCCAACGCCTCGTCCCCTTCAAGTCCCGGCAG